CGCCTCGAAGTGCACCAATCTTTGCAGGCCGTAGAAGCATGTGTGTGATGCCACGTGGTGCCATAGAAATTCGGCTCACGTAGGAGCACATGGAGATGATGGCTCTCCCGTGCGCTGGCGACACGTTCGACAGATGCAGGCAACGTCACGTGCCTGGTCGCATGGTCGAAACGGGGTACTGAAGGCTACTTGTAGAGAGTGCTTGCATCGTCCCAAGGCACTCTAGTCGACCCCAGCTGAGTCGACCCAAGTCACTCTAGTCGACTGTGTTGTGATCTTCTAGATCAAAGGACAGTAACGTACAGGACAGCGCCACGGAACCTTCACTGCGCTCGTACGATTACACAACGGGCGACAAAGTCATGACTTACACCGCGTGCAACGATAGGTCGGCGCGTCACCGGCGTCGACGCGCTCGCCACGCTTTGGCAAATCTGCCCAAACGACTTGCGTCCGTAGTATACAAGGGTTCGATCTGTACACCGTCAGTGTGCTGCCTCCATGCACTGGGAACGAGTTATAGCTTAATGAATGACGCCTTCGATCTGATAGCCAATCACACTACTTTGCCTGTCAGTGCCGCGAATCGAAAACCGCCTCCATGAGCGACCTTCACTCGCGTGTGGATCGATAGCAGTATACTAGTCCAACCACCGACTGAGTGCTCGCCCGGAGCTCACGCCTTGTGGGATGCACACGGTGTAGCCGCTCGGTATCTCGAGTGCTGGTAGTCGCTACGCATTTCGATCACCCTCGTGAGCCAGTTGCTCACTCTCGACGATTATACTTTACCGCGGCCGCCATGCACCAACCGATTTGCGGTGGTATGCGCCAATGACGTTGCCTGCATCGGTGTCACCAGTGCACGGGAGAGCCATCACCTCCATGTGCTCCTACGTGAGCCGAATTTCTATGGCACCACGTGGCATCACACACATGCTTCTACGGCCTGCAAAGATTGGTGCACTTCGAGGCGCACACACGTGGCAGCGCGTCGACGCAGTTTCGATACCACCTAACCCACTTTTCCTTTTGCCTCGCCCGAGCAGCTACCGACATGCAATCGACGCCCCAGCACGACTCTGCGCCGCAAGCCGGCAGCTACAACAGCGACGC